TAACTGTGCTAGGCCTAGTTAAAATTGGAGTCTATTTGAGCATTCGGCCAGTGGGTTAAATGTGAGATTCTAGAAGGACCCATGGATTCTTATTGTCCTGGAAAATTCAGGTGAGGCTACGAATCAGTTTCACGATAAGAGATTCTTGCGGCTGATTGGGTGAGGAAATACAAGGTAACATCTGCTCTTGTGGCAGGAGCTATGCATTGGAGGAAACAGCTTATTTGTTAATTAAGAGCTTATGTCCTACGTTCACGAGCATGTCGTGGCTTTTGATTAGAGATGTAATGTCCTGGTTGAAAATATCCTCTCTGAGAGAAAATTTATTATGAATCACTCAATAATTTGAATTTCTAGAGGTTAACTCATTAACTAATTGGCTGGTTTAAAACTATTCTAAAAAAGACTAATGAAACTGATCTTAAAATATTTTTAGTAAAATCAAGATTCATTGGAAATCCCAAATCCGTTACGCCAAAACACGCACATTTTCATTTTCCAACCCATAAAATAAACACATACTAAATGGTTGAGATAATTAACCTTAACCACAATTCTAAAATTAACAAATTTTATACTCATCATCACTCTATTGCGCGCTTTCATAATATTTTAATATCTGTGCTTATTCTGGTAGACAAAAAATATACTCCTCCGGTCCTTAATATAGAACCCAATTTTTTTCCCAGGCCCCCAATAAATCCTCCCTTATCATCCCTTGCTATTAATCCCACAGCAGCCTTACCTCTTTCCTTACTGAAGGCAGCATCGACATTAATTTTAATTGCCCCTCTAGCAGGCATAACCCAATTCTTACTCCTTTCCACCTGTCTCAGAAACACATCTCCTCTTCTTACCATTATCTGCATCCCAGAAATCACGTACCATTCTCATAGCTCTTCCCACACATCCAATAGCATCCACCTCCTTACCTTCAAAAACGAATTGGCACCTTGACTTCCAGATATCCCAGCAGATTATAGCAAAAAGGGCACAACTATAATCATCAGGCCCCTCCTTAATTTTTAACCACTCGTCCAACCATAAGTCAACCCTCTTCATACCTCTCTCATCGAATCTTAATGATAAAGGGGACCCAAACCAGACCTGCATGGCCCAGGACACAGAAATAACATGTGTTCAATTGATTCAGCTTGGCATCTACAGATATCACAGACTGGTGTATTTGCACATTTCCTTCTAAACAATGCCTCTCGGGTTGCCAAGGCTCCATTAAGTACCCTCCATAGGAAATGAGCAACTTTTGGAGGAATCTTCCATTTCCAAACCACATCCCAAATCACTCTAGGAGTCTGATACGAGCTACCAGGTCTCCCTGAACCCTTTCTGTCCTCTTTATCTTTAACCACCCTTGAATCTGGAAGCATGCCTCCTATGTCCACAATCTCGATTCAAAGATTGAATTCTGAAGGTTTCGTCAATGGGCATCCGATTCGCCACAGTTTCCCGAGAATCGCTGCTTCGTGGACTATGTGAGTTTCAATTTTCTGTTTGCTTGAATTTTATGTTATTTTATTCTGAGATGATCTTGTTGCTCGAAGCTAATCAGAGGTGGTTTCTGTTATCTCTCTAACGTCCACAGGACAATGAGAGATCCTAAAAACTTCAGTAGCGGAATGAAGAATACCATGGAAGACCTGTCAATGCAGCTTTCAATTTCAACGCCACCCGCTCATAAGGTGGAAACTCTAAGGTCTGGCGATCTCCGTTTCGATCGATTGCAACCCTCGGATCATGAATTGGTTGGAGAGAAGATTCTTGAGTTTGGCCAATTTGTTGCTCGAGATGCCGTGCTTGATGAAGAGTATTGGGTATGTCATGAATTGAAACTGAAAGCCTGAAACTATATTATGGAGCTTGATGGAGTTTTCGCTTGCTTTTGTACATGTTGATTTATTTTTGCGATTTTTTTAATGCGACGGCAGACAGCAGCCTGGTTAAGGGCAGAAAGTCACTGTGAGAATCCAACGCTTGCGCGCCATGACATCCGGTATACTAGAATGATCCTTTCATAAGCGTCCTCAGTTTTCACTTTCAACTTTCATTTATTAATAGGATAGGATTGGTAGCACCTTTGCGTCGTGAAAAGAACAATGACGAGTTTAGAGATCACTTGTGTTACTTTTCTAAAAGCTCACAATCAACTAAAATCAAGATGGATATTAAATAAATTCAAGCTTTGCTTTGAATTATAGTGAAAAGTTGGATGCACTGAATCTTGCTATGCTTTTTTCAGACACATTCATAATTACAAAATGAGATTTGCAGACCAGGTAGGGGTTTGTGCTAATAAATTTGTTCATTGTTAAACTATGTACAATGAGATTTCTTTCATGAATTTCTAAAGACGGGCTTCCTATTACCTAGGAATTTAATGCACTAAAGAAGCGGTGCCAAATGCAAAATGAGCAGAAATGCACATGCATTATTGCGGTAAAAATTATCATATCTTCTGAATCAGTTGAAAATGAAAGGCTGCAATTTACTAATATTGCGCTGATTTTATGCAAAGTAATGATTAGCCCTGAATGTGTGCGTTTAACCTTACGTTGTTTGGAGTCAAGTTTATCAGGTGAAGAAGGAGCATAAGAATGTAAAACGCCCGATATTGAAGAGCGTCGTAGGAACGCTTGATTTGAATATCCGATATTTGCTGCGGGGAGAGACTTTTCCCGGGGTATAGTACTTCCTTCTTATTGAGATACAACTACGTCTTCTGACCTGTCTAGACGGATTTTGATGCTCTGAGGCATTTGGTATGTCATTGTCTTAATTTTGACACCTTAGTCGTTTTGCCGAGGCAAATAGAAGGTCGCTCTTGCAAAACCGGATGTTTAAACTGAGTTTTCTTAATGTCATTTACTCCAACGGATAACCAAGCATGCACCAAATCTTATACCCTTGCATTCATCCCGGCACCATGGAAGGGGAAATGACATGACAATGTACCAAGTTCCATAACTTCGATGTATTCATTTGTGCAGGAACGGGTTAAGGCTCCTCGATTTTGCAGCATCGACAGAACAGCACCGAGCAGATATGGCTACATTGCAAACGTATGTGTTGCGAAATCAGCTCGTCGTCAGGGCATTGCAAGCAACATGTTGTACTATGCTGTTGCATCAGCAAAAACTAATGGTAGTTTTAAAGTTGGAGAGTAATTTGACTCCTATAGTATACAACTGACTGATGATATGTCTGTGAATCATGAAAGAGAACTTACCGTATATTCCATGATTTATTGAGCAGGTGTGGAACAAGTATTCGTTCACGTGGACAGAAATAACACAACTGCACAGAATTTGTACCAAAAGATAGGCTTTGAGGTAAGCTCAACACAATCATTTCTACTTCTTGCACTGATCTCTTTAAGAGTATTCCTTCCCTACAAAAAGCAGTAATGCAGCTTCCTTCGCCTTTTCAGATGGTTGTTATGGCAAATTCTCAATTATCGAAGGAACAACTATTCTTGCTTCGTCTACAGACATAAATACTCTGCATTATTTTGTTTCTGAACAACTGTAAAGTTCAAACGGCTGTACCTCCTCTCTCTCCGCACTTGTTGGGAGGTATAGCGCTATAGTCTGTATTGTAATTTAGGTTTTCATTTCTTTTTTCTCCATTGTAAAGGAAAATGGTTTGTCAGTCTGTATTCTTCCTGAATCAAGTTTCAGAAAGACCAAACAAGTGTATGCTTTCACAGGTTCAAGAAAGCAACGAGTGTCACGCTCGGGATGAATCTCCAGAGAAGAACAAAAACATATATTGCAACCCCAATAGTAATCAGAACCCTAGTGCTTACCTCCGCTTTCTACTTGCTCTTTTTATATGTCGTTTCCTTCTTTTGTGTATGTGATCAATATCACTCAATATGCTGAATATGAAGAATCACTGGCAGATTATGATACTTTCCAGAGAGAGAAAGATAATTAGTTTATACAATTGACTGGGCTGGGACCAAATAAAATTTATGTAAAAGCCTAAAAGGCAAAATCTACTCCTGCAAATAGAACAATAGAGTGACAGAGTCAATCATGGAGAAGCATTTACACAAGGGAGGCACCAGAAAGGACAACCTATAAGTCAAGGAGAACTCTTCAGTTAGAGCCACGGTAATGAAGAGTTTTTACTGTGCGAGTTCAAGTTTGTAGTTCTGGTTATGTCACAGGCCACTCCTATTTTTCATCAAGTGGCTGGAGAATAACGCAAAGCACCCTGCCGTTCAGGATCAGCCACTATGACATGTTGCAGTAAAGGAGACATAACGCAACCAATGATCTTAACCTCCCGATTTGAGTGGCCAAACAGAAAATTTTCTGTTATCTGCAAAAATCTCCAACATGTAAATGTCTTCTCCGACGAATTATTTATCTATTCTCTATAATACATCAACTCGGTGAAATCCAATAAGGCAGCAAGTGCTCCATATTCATCTATCTTAAAATTAAATTTTTCAACACATATTTTTTCCAATAAAATAGCAGTCAATCGAATTATAAATTATGCAACTCTCGTCTTGTAAATAGTATAGGACCTGGGTACATCCAAATACTTTAAGCAGTCTCAGCGACAAGCAGTTATCGACGATGAAGCCCAAATGAGCATCTGTGAAATTTCTGCACCATGATAGGTCCAGAGTATGCAAATTTCTTGCACGGCTGCCAAGGGACAAGGCTGTGTCATGGCCAACCTGTCACGCGTAAACCATATAATCAAACCTTGGTTCACATTGATCAACGTAACAACAGTACGAGGAAGGGAGCCCAGTGAAAGGCTTTGACAAATACTAAAAATATATATATAAAAAGAAAAATCACACGATAACCCAAGAAAAGTGGCACCACTGCTTATGACTCATGAGCAATGTGATTTCCGTAAATTTTATATTGATTTTGATTATATTGATGATTAGAAAACATGGATTGATGAACCAATGCGTTTACCAATTACCAAAAAGCAGCCTTATCAGCAGAGGAGGTTCCATGTGCATGCCCAGCCAAAGGAAGCTTGGAGACAGGAGGGAAAAAACGTACCTTTTCCACGTTATTGAGTGAAAGTTCTTTCAAGCACGCTCCCGTGGTCTCCAGAAAAGCCGCAATGGCTTCATCACTGAGATACAAAAGATGTTCAATTTGTTCAACTCTTTGGAGACATAGACATTGCATGCTAATAAAATACTACCTCTCATTTTTAATATAAGACACAGTTGACTAATTTGATGAGATTAAGGAAACTAAGTAAATTACTTGCTTATAGCATATATTTACACAATCTCTCTAAAATATTTATATGCATCATTAAATTATATATCAATCTCTAAGTCAGATAAATTAGTTTGGACAGAAATAATTATTATAAATACTTTAAGCTAATATATTTACCTTTATTAATTTTTTCAAATTAGTCAATTGGATCTTATATTAAGAACTGGAAATAGTATAGTAGTATATATTTTTGGTCTTTTTTCCCCAAAACAAAAGATGAATACAAGATGTTTTCAATTTCCTTAGTACATATGAAAAGCTAAATGGCAATTCAGAGATTTCTAACAGTACATATAGATGGAAGCAAAGAAAGCTGTCCTAAAACTTTAACAAGCTAGAAACTCATCTGAGTCAACTCTGTAAATGAGCAAATTGGTAACAGTGACAGACAAGAATGGCAAAGCATAAATAAGAAGTGCATGATCAAAATTTAAACGTCAGGTTAACATATGAAGCCCACCAAATGCAAAATGATGATATGATGATGATGAAACACAAGAGAGAAAAGAGAGGAGGGGCTAAACCTGAATTGATTGCGGCGGAGTCTCAGTGTATGAAGCGCTCGGCACCCATTTGCAAGATATCCAATGGATGAATCCGTTAATTTGCACAAGTTCATGAGATCAAGTGAGCATAATCCAGGACAGAATTGAGCAATAATTTTAACTGATGAATCGGTCAATTTTCTACGCATCAACAAATAGAAATCAAACATCTAAGAAACAAACAGCTTCTGACAATAATCACAACTTAAGCAGACATTCAGATTTAACACATTGAATTAAATAGACTGGCACAAACGGTACTCACTCACAATCCTTCAAGACAAGTTCCTTCAAATTATGACCGCGTTCAGTCACAAAATTCTTGATAAAATCATCAGAAACAGTTTGGATGCCTGCCACTGACAAGACTTCTAAATGTTCAAAGCTCTGCAGTTCTGGCCCAATTAGTGCAGCATTAATGTTGGGGCAATCATCAAGATACAACTCTTTAAGAAGTGATCTTAATGAATTAGCCAAAACAAATACACTGTGAAATGTGAGAAGGGAGCATTGGCTAAGATTTATCGATCTAAGAGCCGGAGTGGAAGAAACTAGACTATGCAACCCCTTGTCTGAAAGACGGCATGCACCGCTGAGGGACAGACTAGTTAGTCTAGGTAACTGGTTTGGTGATCGTGCTAAAGTAGCAAGTACCACGTGATGTGGGGTGCAGCGGCCACACTGATCAAGTTGCAACACCTATTCCACAGGTGAAATGAATAAACTATTTCAAAGATCGCTTACAATTCAAATCAAGTGAAAAGGTGATACTTATAACAATATCAATCGAGTTAAGTCAAGTATAGTGAACATGGGCACTAATTGAAAGGGAGTCATCCAATATTGACCAGAAACCAAATTATTTGAAGGGCAATCAAAGTTAAGATTATCTTTTTATTCTTAAAAGCTGAGGCCCACCATATGAGTATTTCAGTATGTTAGCCACTTAACGGATTATCAGAAATACAGTTGCTGAAGGACAACAAGAGTTAAATTAAATCACATCCACTGCCTATGCCAAGCCAAAACGAAATTGGTAACAAAGCTCAAGTAAGCCTTTTCAGCACCCATCATAACACATAAAACAATCCTATGTATGCACGGCTTTTGCGTGAGTTTTTTTTTTTTTTTGGGGGGGGGTGTTGTGACAGCCAAATACCTCCAACATCTCTCAATACAGAACAAACATTATTTTCATGTTTATAGAAACCCCCAACATCTCTCAATACAGAACAAACATTATTTTCATGTTTATAGAAACCCCCTAGTTATTCTGCGATGCAAGTTAAAGATCATACTTAAAGAACATACTGAAACCTGAGTAAATGACACAATATCCAAAATACTGAAAAGTTTGAGTATCAAATAATTTAGAGAACATACCACCAGATTAGCAGTGTCACATGATTGAAAAGCTTTTATAAACTGTTCCTCAGTCATCCATGAGCAATCACTTAGTCGAATCTCTGTGGGGGATCCAGTAAGAAGAAGTTCCAAAAAGCGACTGTTCATTTTTCGAGAATCACAGACCAACTGACAAAGTTGGTGCTTCAGAGCATCTGGGACATTTTCAAGAGAAACAATTGCATCAGCATTCTTGGCAAGTAAATCAAGGCATAGTTCTTGCAGCGAGGGAGCCGAGACTCTAGCACGTATTTGCTCTTGATTACTCCTAGGAGCCCAATTAATGGATGCAGGTAAATTTTCTGAAGAGTTGCAGCTCATTTGCCTACTTTTCATTCCTCGATTTCTAATTGTTTTCGTGGCTGTGGAGAAAGGACCAGACCATTCTTCAATTTCATTTTCAATATTAGCCTTGGTAGAAGCATGAACATCTTTTTCAGCTGGTGTAAAACGAGCAAAGTGAGCAGCATATGCCTTTGCTATATCCCGGAAATTTTCCATGAGTTCCCTCCTCCGTGAAGCCCTGTCAGCATTTCTCCATTGTTTTTCATATTGTAAAGCTACATTACAAGCTAAATGTGACGCATCTAAATTTTCGATATCAATCAAATTGATGGATTCCGATTCTAATCCAAAATGACATTCATGAAAAACGTTGCGGAATAAATCGCCATTGTCCAATACTCTCTTCCCTTTCTCTTCTCTGCTGAATCTCCTTTGAACACCATCACCCTTATCATCCCAATTGGGTGCTTCATTCATACTTGCAGTAACAATGCCCTTTTCGTTGTCACCACGCAACTCTCCCATACCACTTTCATCAACTCCATCAGAATCCAATGGTAAACAATCAGCCGAATTCATAAACTCTTTTTTTACTGTGTGAATAGTAGTATTTTGTGTTTCATTTTCCAAGTCCAAATTCAATGCGCATTCTTTTCTAGTGCGTTTAGCACTACTATTCTCTTCGCTGGGCCCATCCTTCCCAGTCTTATCGTCTTCATGATTCACAGAATCCAACGCTCTCTTCAGTAAATTCTTTTCTGACTGCCAATTCAAGAAGCGTTTGGGCCGATCATCTCCCTCACGTCCCGAACTATCAAACAAGACTGCTTTTTCCTTCGACCCAGAACTCGACGAATCCGTTCTTGATCGGTCTTGAACTGTAAATGACGCAGTCTCACATATTTTCGAGTTGGGTTCCTTCAAAATGATCGCTTTCTCAACCTTTTCGTCGGTTTCCAAGACCTTCAACCCAGTGGAACCCAAATTCAAACCCGTTCCTTGATCGTCCAATCCACCCATACTAGGAGCACCAGGCTTTGCAGTCATTTTTCTATCCACCGAGAACCAAGTCTCATTCAATAAAGAGGGCGATTCTGTGGTCAAGAATCCATCAAAATCGAAATTGAATTCAGGCGTGCCACGGAAACTCCAAGCCGGGGAAGTAGAAGTGAGCCCAGTGATCGGGGACCCTGAGGTGGGTGGGTCGGTTTTGGGAGAATCAGAAGAAGGGGTAGGCATGGGCGATGGGCGGAGGTAAAGAGGGGTAAGGATCCGGATCTTCTCAGCGGCCATTTTCTCCTTTTCCCTCAGAAGCTTAATATCCTACCCGTCCAGTTGATCTAAGAGCCTGACACCTCATGAAGCTTTTTAGAATCGCATCTGAACCATCCATCTTGATATAATCCTGGCCGTTCATTTAATTGCATATTCTGCCAAATCGCTTCAGAGTTCAGAGTGCCATTTTCCGTCGAAGTTCACCCCCCCGGGCAATGTAGACAGGAAGCTCCGTCGTCTCGTAAACCATCGTTGGAAAATATGAGAGAATCTCCATAGCTTTGCTGAAAGTAGTTTCTTCAGGTATCTACATTACACCTTTTCCTCCATATCTTCTCTCTTCTTTCCCATCCCTCTCTTCCTCATTCTTGACGGTTGAATGTTCAAGTAAGCAGAGGTTCTTTCCAGAAAATTAGCAAGGTAATTGCAGTTAAATCAAAACCTTTTGTCTGCTACTGTTAAAATCTAAGATGACCTGTGCTGTTGTGGACGTATAAGCTAAGCTGTTGTGCTAAGATTCTTTAAAGCATAATTTTTGTTCTAATTTTCACATTGAGTTTCTTTTTGGCTTGCATCATATGATGATTTCATGGAATTATTATATTCTTGATTTATTTCCCCCATGATAAGCAATGTTGGTTTTGTATTGAGGAACATATATTGTAAACAAAGTTTGCAAAATTTCAATGAAGTCGATCGGTTGAATTTATATGGCAAAGTTGAGCAAAATTGCCTCTTAAGATGAGTAAAGTTGCCACTTTTAGTTTAGATGGAAAAATTATGTTGGTGAATTATGCATTTTTCTTCTATCATTTTGGTGAAAGGAGGTCTTCTAGTTTTGTTTGTATCTCTCTATATTCATGGTATTAGCAGTCCCATGATTTCTCTGTTTTTCAACAAAATCAAATGCGATAACATTCTCACCTTGGTTGAGTTGTTAATTGGCGCATCATGTTTTCTCCAGTTTTCTATGTACAATCAGTTAGAGTCAATATATTGGTGGTGGTGAATGTAATCTACAGATAACAATAATCATCCATCCACGACTTCGTCTTGCACAAATTTTGTGAGCCTTCAATACCTTCTGTTCTTATTTATGCAGCCATTTAAAGATATGATCGAAGAGACTAGGAACTGCAAAGCAGTTAACCAACATACTCACAGATGTTGGAGAGGAGTGAGTTTGAAGTTTTATTGTTTATTGCTTTTTTAAGTTCTTAGAGTTGCTGTGTAAATCTTTTTTTAGACCATAAAGTGTTCTCCCATGAGAGCTTTTGTGATATTGCCATTGGAAAAAGTTACAGAAGTATAGATAGATTGAGTCCAAATAATAATGATATACACATCTCCTAAACAAATAACGAGACCAAGTTTGCTACAAAAGCTACCTTTGGAAATGGCCAATTGAACAAAACATAACTTTCTCTTCCGTATTTAATGAAATAGAATTTGATACATATTGAACTGGCTGTCATAATGAACAAAACAGAATTTGTTGTTCTATGAAAGAAGATACAAGTTGCTGTCATGTCATACAAAATATAACTTGGTGGATTGAATGACTGAAGTGTTGGAATTTGAATTGTTATTGCAGGTGGTAGCTATATCAGCTCTCATGTTGACTAAATATTGTTGAGGCTATATAAAAGATGGACTTTCTGGACCTTCACCTGCCTGGAATTGATTAGACATTGTTGAAGTTGTTATGGAAGATGCACCTTCGCCTAAAAAGAAGGAAGAAATAAAAGAGCAATGTAGATGTCAGTGTAGGGTCATAAAAAAGTTGTAATGCAATATGTTTGATATAACAAAGTTGTCTTGTATATATGTAGTTTGCGCTCGAGAGATGTCTCATGTAATGCTGTAAATTTGGTTTTAGGATAGTTGATTCTTCTTCTGAACAATTGTACCAAAATTTGCAGCGAAGTTTGAAAAATACTTGTAGTCTCTTTACTTGTTACTTTACAGGCATCTTATTGTTCTCAAATAGATTTAAACTCTGGGTTCTCACAAGCTGAACCTTTTTTGTTAAATCAGGTTGTACAATGCTATTTATGAGCAAGATAAATCTCATTCCATCTCTGCTATCGCGCTTTTAATTGGACACTGTACATCTTCTCTCCATTCTCCGAAACAAACATGAAAGACATGGAAGATATCTAATAAAATGCCAAATAACTTGATTCAATAAATATAAAAGTATCCACGGGAAACAAAATAAAGCAATAAATAATGCTAATCCAGCCATATAACTTCAACCCATCGACTTCATTGAAATTTTGCAAACTTCATTTAGAATATATGTTCCTCAATACAAAATCAACATTGCTTATCATGGGGGGAAATAAATGAAGAATATAATTAATTCCATGAAATTATCATATGATGCAAACCAAAAAGAAACTCAATGTGAAAATTAGAACAAAAATTATGCTTTAAAGAATCTTAGCACAATTGCTTAGCTTATACGCCCATAGCAGCACAGGTCATCTTAGATTTTAACAGTAGCAGTCAAAAGGTTATAATTTAAATGCAATAACGTTGCTAATTTTCTGGAAAGAACCTTTGCTTACTTGGCCATTCAATAGTCAAGAATGAGGAAGAATGGGACGGAAAAGAAGAGCGAAGATATGGAGGAAGAGGTGTAATGTAGATGAATAAACTACTTTCAGCAAAGCTATGGAGATTCTCTCATATTTTCCAACAGTGGGTTACGAGACGACGGAGCTTCCTGCATTGCCCAGGGGTAGAACTTCGATGGAAAATGGCACTCTGAACTCTGAAGCGATTTGGTAGAATATGCAATTAAATGAACGGCTAGGATTATATCAAGATGGATGGTTCAGATGCGATTCTAAAAAGCTTCATGAGGTGTCTCTTTGCAGGCTGTTAGATCAACTGGACGGGTAGGATATTAAGCTTCTGAGAGAAAAGGAGAAAATGGCCGCTGAGAAGATCCGGATTCGGTAAAGAGATGGAACAGGAAGGAGGAAAGTTGAATTGGACGCGGATTTTGAAGAGGCCGTTAAAGATTGATTAAAAAAGTCAGGGATTTGAGTGAGAACATTTCCGAAGGACGTGAAAAACTGAGAAGTGAGAATTGAGAAGGCAGTCCGCGAAGATTAAGGAAGGAGGGAACGCAATAAATTTTGGAGGTACGCTGATGGCCCATTTGGTAGACTTCTACAGCTCTACGGTATATGTTTTTTTTTTTTTTTTTTTGCTTTTTGAAAATAATGCGTATGCTTATTTCATTCGGTGGATTTCCACTCTATTGTTTTTGTAAAATATTCTTTTATTTTTATATGTTTATTCGTTCCAGAAAAAGATTTTTATCCTAATAATATTCTATTAAAATATTCTTGACTTTTAAATTTTATATTTGACTTAAATGATCCCTTTCTTTACATATTTCAAAGCAAGGGACAAAGTGATCGTAGAAATCATTAATTTCTATCAAAGAAATTATAAAGAGGCATTTTTTTAAAACAAAAACAGAAGTTTGAAATTAATAATATTTTGAAATGGATGGAGCGTAGATCACCTAATTAGCAAATTTGAATAGATTAATAATATTAGTTAATAGTTAAACTAATTAATATGATTTTTTTTAAATACTCTAAGTACCTTGCTTAATTCTCTTCCTACTTTTGATTATTAATTAAGAAAATATCAATATGGTTAATTTGAAAAAACTTTATAGACATGTGAAATAGGTCTTACATATAGGACTAACATGAACTCATCAATTAGGTCTTATATAAAGATCATATGAGTATTAATTATTTACTTATTGTGCCATGGAAAACAATTTAATGTAATCTAACAACTAACAAATGAATCTAATAAAAATGAATAAGTCATTTTTATTGAATTAAGTTTAAAGTATACAATTGGTTCTTTGACTTTATATGAAGTTTTATTTTAATCCCTTAACTTTAAAAAGTATACTTTTAGTTCTTTAATCTTAAAATTGTTAGACTTAAATGATAATTTTTTATAACAATTATAGTTTTTTTAAAAATTAAACTTAATATATTGGTATTTGATAATATTTTATTAACATTTAAAATCTTGATATTCTTTTTTTATTAATAATTTTAAAATGAAAAAACTAAAAAAATATTTTTTAAAATTAGTGACTAAATTAAATTGTAAGAAAATTGACAAACAAAAAGTAAGTTCTTTCTTTGATCCACGTGGATGGTAAAGTTAGTTTATTATGACCGAGAAAAAAAAAAAGAAACAAGGAAAACATGTAACATACGGTAAGTTGTAACTTTATTCAAGGATCTTGTTTAATTTTTCGATTTTATAAAGTAATTTTTCAGTTTTTTAAGTACTTCTGAAATGATAGTTTTTTAAGTGAAACATTATAATTTTTAAAAAATGAAACTTAATATATTAATATTTGATATATTAATATTTAAGAATATTTTATTAATATTTAAAATTTTGATGGCGTCATTTTTGTCAATAAAACTAATGGAGTTAAGGTTTGTAAGTTTAAAAATATTTAATAAATTTAAAGCATCATAGTAAAATTGTATAAGAATTAAATAATCAAAGATACGCTTTCACTAAAAAAATAATCATTTATTTTTTATAATTTTTATTAGCTTACAATTCAGTTTCAAAAATATAATTTGATATAACTTAATTTGTTTAATTTTAGCCATATAATAAATCTATTCTTACATTTTATAGCCTAATCTCTAAAAAAATTACTGGTAGTTGTCTCCTAATCTGAACCAATTTATTAAATACCAGATATCTTATTGAGTAAGTTTTTTTATCTGGATTATAAAGTAAGTTTTCATTGAGCCAAAACGATAAAAATTAAGTGTTAAATTTTTTCTCAAATCAAAATGTTAACCCCGTTATTGCCCAAATGTTTTTTTTTTCAGTAAATGGACATTGATGAATTTTTCAAAGATAAACTGAGTAATCAATCTTTTAAACAAAAGCATATTCAGCAACATTATTGCTTTTTCTCGTCTTGACATTTATCCAATCCAAAAGTTTCAATAAACCATGAGCAAAACATAACAATTGGGTCAAAGAAAATAAGAATAATAATCACGAAAAAAAAATCACAAGTGACTAAAGGACCTGTATGATGAACCTCAAGTTATTATTTAATATTTTTACGGAAAAATTTTTAATCTGTTTTAGACTTTATTAGTAACTAACAAAGAGATTGGATCTAACAAAATCGGGACACCTTCTTGATGAATTAAGCTTCGAATATTTATTAGGAAACATTTAATATTTAATGTCCGACAAGTTCTACAGTTAAATAAAAAATGATATACGAATGGACAAGGTGGAAAGATGGGAAAAAAAGGACAAGTTGTCAAGTTACGTTGGATAAGCTCGGGGTAGAAAAAAGAGAGAAACAGAAAGTGGGGTGATGGACAAAGTGAAATGGATATATATATATATATATATATATATATATATAAAATATTTAAATATCCTGAAAGTATCTGCAAAAGAATATTCAATACCTGAAATTTTTTTTTTGTTCTTATATATCCTAAAAATTTATTTTCATAACAAAAATACCCTGGTCATTATCTACCGTTTAGTTTGATTGTTAAATTATGAGGCTTGACTTGTATGTTCAACAATCAAACTTAACGACAGATAACATTTTATGAAAAAAAAAATACTGTAAAATAAAATTTTCAGAATATATAAAAATAAAAAAACTTTTAGATATCAAAGTGCTACTTTATACTTTATAGATATTTCTGAGCATTTAAGCACTTTACCCCTTTATATATACATAGGTAGAGATAAGATATTGGATAGGCATGGAAATGGCATTAAGAAAAAACATGTGAAGGCGATGCTTCAACTAGTAATGTCCGTCATGATGAAAGATTTAACTTAATTAAACATGGATATTGGTGGATTATTGAAAGCTAAACTGAGTCATCAATTCAATTTTTATAAGCAAAACAGACTCAGCAACATTAATATTTTATTCATCATGACATACCGCCAAAAATTCCAATACAGCGTGAGCAAAACGTAACAACTGGGTAAAACGAAAAAAATTAGAAAAGTACTCCCTCGAGTAAAAGTTAATCAAGAGTCAGTAGTTAGGAAATTTAATAATTAGTTGAGAATATTAGGTGAAAGAATTAATAACCAAAATAAAATATTTTATATTAGCATGAAACATTGTAGGAAGTCTTCATACTAACAGAAAAGAGTAATAATTAGAAAAAAAGAAATGATATTTTTTAAAATGTGAATTTATGGAGGCTCAAAAGGAGAAAAAAGGAAAAAGAAAAAAGAAGAAGAAATACATCATGGGTTTAGGCTAGCATTATTGAAGGTAAGAATGTACTGAACGGAACAGTCCTTTTTTCTTTTTGGGCTTAGGACATTCATTGTGAATAATAAGGACTAAGGGTGTGTTTGGATAGAAACCAAACCATGGTTTCAGAAATGTTTTTACGGATTACGAAGTAAATATGTAGAGGAGATTATCCCATTTTGCGGAAAAGTGCTTCTGAAATCACGGTTTTGGGATACCCAAACAGGCCTTAAATCTCTCTTACCATAAATTTTTCAAAGGGATTTTAGATTTTAGTACTGGTCACAAAACTTTTTCTATAAATATCGTGAGGAATCAAATCCCTAATTAAATATTTAAAAAATTCAGTTAAGTGCTAACTGTGCTAGGCCTAGTTAAAATTGGAGTCTATTTTGAGCATTCGGCCAGTGGGTTAAATGTGAGATTCTAGAAGGACCCATGGATTCTTATTGTCCTGGAAAATTCAGGTGAGGCTACGAATCAGTTTCACGATAAGAGATTCTTGCGGCTGATTGGGTGAGGAAATACAAGGTAACATCTGCTCTTGTGGCAGGAGCTATGCATTGGAGGAAACAGCTTATTTGTTAATTAAGAGCTTATGTCCTACGTTCACGAGCATGTCGTGGCTTTTGATTAGAGATGTAATGTCCTGGTTGAAAATATCCTCTCTGAGAGAAAATTTATTATGAATCACTCAATAATTTGAATTTCTAGAGGTTAACTCATTAACTAATTGGCTGGTTAAAACTATTCTAAAAAAGACTAATGAAACTGATCTTAAAATATTTTTAGTAAAATCAAGATTCATTGGAAATCCCAAATCCGTTACGCCAAAACACGCACATTTTCATTTTCCAACCCATAAAATAAACACATACTAAATGGTTGAGATAATTAACCTTAACCACAATTCTAAAATTAACAAATTTTATACTCATCATCACTCTATTGCGCGCTTCTTCATAATATTTTAATATCTGTGCTTATTCTGGTAGACAAAAAATATACTCCTCCGGTCCTTAATATAGAACCCAATTTTTTTCCCAGGCCCCCAATAAATCCTCCCTTATCATCCCTTGCTATTAATCCCACAGCAGCCTTACCTCTTTCCTTACTGAAGGCAGCATCGACATTAATTTTAATTGCCCCTCTAGCAGGCATAACCCAATTCTTACTCCTTTCCACCCCTGTCTCAGAAACACATCTCCTCTTCTTACCATTATCTGCATCCCAGAAATCACGTACCATTCTCATAGCTCTTCCCACACATCCAATAGCATCCACCTCCTTACCTTCAAAAACGAATTGGCACCTTGACTTCCAGATATCCCAGCAGATTATAGCAAAAAGGGCACAACTATAATCATCAGGCCCCTCCTTAATTTTTAACCACTCGTCCAACCATAAGTCAACCCTCTTCATACCTCTCTCATCGAATCTTAATGATAAAGGGGACCCAAACCAGACCTGCATGGCCCAAGGACACAGAAATAACATGTGTTCAATTGATTCAGCTTGGCATCTACAGATATCACAGACTGGTGTATTTGCACATTTCCTTCTAAACAATGCCTCTCGGGTTGCCAAGGCTCCATTAAGTACCCTCCATAGGAAATGAGCAACTTTTGGAGGAATCTTCCATTTCCAAACCACATCCCAAATCACTCTAGGAGTCTGATACGAGCTACCAGGTCTCCCTGAACCCTTTCTGTCCTCTTTATCTTTAACCACCCTTGAATCTGGAAGCATGCCTCCTATGTCCACAATCTCGATTCAAAGATTGAATTCTGAAGGTTTCGTCAATGGGCATCCGATTCGCCACAGTTTCCCGAGAATCGCTGCTTCGTGGACTATGTGAGTTTCAATTTTCTGTTTGCTTGAATTTTATGTTATTTTATTCTGAGATGATCTTGTTGCTCGAAGCTAATCAGAGGTGGTTTCTGTTATCTCTCTAACGTCCACAGGACAATGAGAGATCCTAAAAACTTCAGTAGCGGAATGAAGAATACCATGGAAGACCTGTCAATGCAGCTTTCAATTTCAACGCCACCCGCTCATAAGGTGGAAACTCTAAGGTCTGGCGATCTCCGTTTCGATCGATTGCAACCCTCGGATCATGAATTGGTTGGAGAGAAGATTCTTGAGTTTGGCCAATTTGTTGCTCGAGATGCCGTGCTTGATGAAGAGTATTGGGTATGTCATGAATTGAAACTGAAAGCCTGAAACTATATTATGGAGCTTGATGGAGTTTTCGCTTGCTTTTGTACATGTTGATTTATTTTTGCGATTTTTTTAATGCGACGGCAGACAGCAGCCTGGTTAAGGGCAGAAAGTCACTGTGAGAATCCAACGCTTGCGCGCCATGACATCCGGTATACTAGAATGATCCTTTCATAAGCGTCCTCAGTTTTCACTTTCAACTTTCATTTATTAATAGGATAGGATTGGTAGCACCTTTGCGTCGTGAAAAGAACAATGACGAGTTTAGAGATCACTTGTGTTACTTTTCTAAAAGCTCACAATCAACTAAAATCAAGATGGATATTAAATAAATTCAAGCTTTGCTTTGAATTATAGTGAAAAGTTGGATGCACTGAATCTTGCTATGCTTTTTTCAGACACATTCATAATTACAAAATGAGATTTGCAGACCAGGTAGGGGTTTGTGCTAATAAATTTGTTCATTGTTAAACTATGTACAATGAGATTTCTTTCATGAATTTCTAAAGACGGGCTTCCTATTACCTAGGAATTTAATGCACTAAAGAAGCGGTGCCAAATGCAAAATGAGCAGAAATGCACATGCATTATTGCGGTAAAAATTATCATATCTTCTGAATCAGTTGAAAATGAAAGGCTGCAATTTACTAATATTGCGCTGATTTTATGCAAAGTAATGATTAGCCCTGAATGTGTGCGTTTAACCTTACGTTGTTTGGAGTCAAGTTTATCAGGTGAAGAAGGAGCATAAGAATGTAAAACGCCCGATATTGAAGAGCGTCGTAGGAACGCTTGATTTGAATATCCGATATTTGCTGCGGGGAGAGACTTTTCCCGGGGTATAGTACTTCCTTCTTATTGAGATACAACTACGTCTTCTGACCTGTCTAGACGGATTTTGATGCTCTGAGGCATTTGGTATGTCATTGTCTTAATTTTGACACCTTAGTCGTTTTGCCGAGGCAAATAGAAGGTCGCTCTTGCAAAACCGGATGTTTAAACTGAGTTTTCTTAATGTCATTTACTCCAACGGATAACCAAGCATGCACCAAATCTTATACCCTTGCATTCATCCCGGCACCATGGAAGGGGAAATGACATGACAATGTACCAAGTTCCATAACTTCGATGTATTCATTTGTGCAGGAACGGGTTAAGGCTCCTCGATTTTGCAGCATCGACAGAACAGCACCGAGCAGATATGGCTACATTGCAAACGTATGTGTTGCGAAATCAGCTCGTCGTCAGGGCATTGCAAGCAACATGTTGTACTATGCTGTTGCATCAGCAAAAACTAATGGTAGTTTTAAAGTTGGAGAGTAATTTGACTCCTATAGTATACAACTGACTGATGATATGTCTGTGAATCATGAAAGAGAACTTACCGTATATTCCATGATTTATTGAGCAGGTGTGGAACAAGTATTCGTTCACGTGGACAGAAATAACACAACTGCACAGAATTTGTACCAAAAGATAGGCTTTGAGGTAAGCTCAACACAATCATTTCTACTTCTTGCACTGATCTCTTTAAGAGTATTCCTTCCCTACAAAAAGCAGTAATGCAGCTTCCTTCGCCTTTTCAGATGGTTGTTATGGCAAATTCTCAATTATCGAAGGAACAACTATTCTTGCTTCGTCTACAGACATAAATACTCTGCATTATTTTGTTTCTGAACAACTGTAAAGTTCAAACGGCTGTACCTCCTCTCTCTCCGCACTTGTTGGGAGGTATAGCGCTATAGTCTGTATTGTAATTTAGGTTTTCATTTCTTTTTTCTCCATTGTAAAGGAAAATGGTTTGTCAGTCTGTATTCTTCCTGAATCAAGTTTCAGAAAGACCAAACAAGTGTATGCTTTCACAGGTTCAAGAAAGCAACGAGTGTCACGCTCGGGATGAATCTCCAGAGAAGAACAAAAACATATATTGCAACCCCAATAGTAATCAGAACCCTAGTGCTTACCTCCGCTTTCTACTTGCTCTTTTTATATGTCGTTTCCTTCTTTTGTGTATGTGATCAATATCACTCAATATGCTGAATATGAAGAATCACTGGCAGATTATGATACTTTCCAGAGAGAGAAAGATAATTAGTTTATACAATTGACTGGGCTGGGACCAAATAAAATTTATGTAAAAGCCTAAAAGGCAAAATCTACTCCTGCAAATAGAACAATAGAGTGACAGAGTCAATCATGGAGAAGCATTTACACAAGGGAGGCACCAGAAAGGACAACCTATAAGTCAAGGAGAACTCTTCAGTTAGAGCCACGGTAATGAAGAGTTTTTACTGTGCGAGTTCAAGTTTGTAGTTCTGGTTATGTCACAGGCCACTCCTATTTTTCATCAAGTGGCTGGAGAATAACGCAAAGCACCCTGCCGTTCAGGATCAGCCACTATGACATGTTGCAGTAAAGGAGACATAACGCAACCAATGATCTTAACCTCCCGATTTGAGTGGCCAAACAGAAAATTTTCTGTTATCTGCAAAAATCTCCAACATGTAAATGTCTTCTCCGACGAATTATTTATCTATTCTCTATAATACATCAACTCGGTGAAATCCAATAAGGCAGCAAGTGCTCCATATTCATCTATCTTAAAATTAAATTTTTCAACACATATTTTTTCCAATAAAATAGCAGTCAATCGAATTATAAATTATGCAACTCTCGTCTTGTAAATAGTATAGGACCTGGGTACATCCAAATACTTTAAGCAGTCTCAGCGACAAGCAGTTATCGACGATGAAGCCCAAATGAGCATCTGTGAAATTTCTGCACCATGATAGGTCCAGAGTATGCAAATTTCTTGCACGGCTGCCAAGGGACAAGGCTGTGTCATGGCCAACCTGTCACGCGTAAACCATATAATCAAACCTTGGTTCACATTGATCAACGTAACAACAGTACGAGGAAGGGAGCCCAGTGAAAGGCTTTGACAAATACTAAAAATATATATATAAAAAGAAAAATCACACGATAACCCAAGAAAAGTGGCACCACTGCTTATGACTCATGAGCAATGTGATTTCCGTAAATTTTATATTGATTTTGATTATATTGATGATTAGAAAACATGGATTGATGAACCAATGCGTTTACCAATTACCAAAAAGCAGCCTTATCAGCAGAGGAGGTTCCATGTGCATGCCCAGCCAAAGGAAGCTTGGAGACAGGAGGGAAAAAACGTACCTTTTCCACGTTATTGAGTGAAAGTTCTTTCAAGCACGCTCCCGTGGTCTCCAGAAAAGCCGCAATGGCTTCATCACTGAGATACAAAAGATGTTCAATTTGTTCAACTCTTTGGAGACATAGACATTGCATGCTAATAAAATACTACCTCTCATTTTTAATATAAGACACAGTTGACTAATTTGATGAGATTAAGGAAACTAAGTAAATTACTTGCTTATAGCATATATTTACACAATCTCTCTAAAATATTTATATGCATCATTAAATTATATATCAATCTCTAAGTCAGATAAATTAGTTTGGACAGAAATAATTATTATAAATACTTTAAGCTAATATATTTACCTTTATTAATTTTTTCAAATTAGTCAATTGGATCTTATATTAAGAACTGGAAATAGTATAGTAGTATATATTTTTGGTCTTTTTTCCCCAAAACAAAAGATGAATACAAGATGTTTTCAATTTCCTTAGTACATATGAAAAGCTAAATGGCAATTCAGAGATTTCTAACAGTACATATAGATGGAAGCAAAGAAAGCTGTCCTAAAACTTTAACAAGCTAGAAACTCATCTGAGTCAACTCTGTAAATGAGCAAATTGGTAACAGTGACAGACAAGAATGGCAAAGCATAAATAAGAAGTGCATGATCAAAATTTAAACGTCAGGTTAACATATGAAGCCCACCAAATGCAAAATGATGATATGATGATGATGAAACACAAGAGAGAAAAGAGAGGAGGGGCTAAACCTGAATTGATTGCGGCGGAGTCTCAGTGTATGAAGCGCTCGGCACCCATTTGCAAGATATCCAATGGATGAATCCGTTAATTTGCACAAGTTCATGAGATCAAGTGAGCATAATCCAGGACAGAATTGAGCAATAATTTTAACTGATGAATCGGTCAATTTTCTACGCATCAACAAATAGAAATCAAACATCTAAGAAACAAACAGCTTCTGACAATAATCACAACTTAAGCAGACATTCAGATTTAACACATTGAATTAAATAGACTGGCACAAACGGTACTCACTCACAATCCTTCAAGACAAGTTCCTTCAAATTATGACCGCGTTCAGTCACAAAATTCTTGATAAAATCATCAGAAACAGTTTGGATGCCTGCCACTGACAAGACTTCTAAATGTTCAAAGCTCTGCAGTTCTGGCCCAATTAGTGCAGCATTAATGTTGGGGCAATCATCAAGATACAACTCTTTAAGAAGTGATCTTAATGAATTAGCCAAAACAAATACACTGAGAAATGTGAGAAGGGAGCATTGGCTAAGATTTATCGATCTAAGAGCCGGAGTGGAAGAAACTAGACTATGCAACCCCTTGTCTGAAAGACGGCATGCACCGCTGAGGGACAGACTAGTTAGTCTAGGTAACTGGTTTGGTGATCGTGCTAAAGTAGCAAGTACCACGTGATCTGGGGTGCAGCGGCCACACTGATCAAGTTGCAACACCTATTCCACAGGTGAAATGAATAAACTATTTCAAAGATCGCTTACAATTCAAATCAAGTGAAAAGGTGATACTTATAACGATATCAATCGAGTTGAGTCAAGTATAGTGAACATGGGCACTAATTGAAAGGGAGTCATCCAATATTGACCAGAAACCAAATTATTTGAAGGGCAATCAAAGTTAAGATTATCTTTTTATTCTTAAAAGCTGAAGCCCACCATATGAGTATTTCAGTATGTTAGCCACTTAACGGATTATCAGAAATACAGTTGCTGAAGGACAACAAGAGTTAAATTAAATCACATCCACTGCCTATGCCAAGCCAAAACGAAATTGGTAACAAAGCTCAAGTAAGCCTTTTCAGCACCCATCATAACACATAAAACAATCCTATGTATGCACGGCTTTTGCGTGAGTTTTTTTTTTTTTTTTGGGGGGGGGGTGTTGTGACAGCCAAATACCTCCAACATCTCTCAATACAGAACAAACATTATTTTCATGTTTATAGAAACCCCCTAGTTATTCTGCGATGCAAGTTAAAGATCATACTTAAAGAACATACTGAAACCTGAGTAAATGACACAATATCCAAAATACTGAAAAGTTTGAGTATCAAATAATTTAGAGAACATACCACCAGATTAGCAGTGTCACATGATTGAAAAGCTTTTATAAACTGTTCCTCAGTCATCCATGAGCAATCACTTAGTCGAATCTCTGTGGGGGATCCAGTAAGAAGAAGTTCCAAAAAGCGACTGTTCATTTTTCGAGAATCACAGACCAACTGACAAAGTTGGTGCTTCAGAGCATCTGGGACATTTTCAAGAGAAACAATTGCATCAGCATTCTTGGCAAGTAAATCAAGGCATAGTTCTTGCAGCGAGGGAGCCGAGACTCTAGCACGTATTTGCTCTTGATTACTCCTAGGAGCCCAATTAATGGATGCAGGTAAATTTTCTGAAGAGTTGCAGCTCATTTGCCTACTTTTCATTCCTCGATTTCTAATTGTTTTCGTGGCTGTGGAGAAAGGACCAGACCATTCTTCAATTTCATTTTCAATATTAGCCTTGGTAGAAGCATGAACATCTTTTTCAGCTGGTGTAAAACGAGCAAAGTGAGCAGCATATGCCTTTGCTATATCCCGGAAATTTTCCATGAGTTCCCTCCTCCGTGAAGCCCTGTCAGCATTTCTCCATTGTTTTTCATATTGTAAAGCTACATTACAAGCTAAATGTGACGCATCTAAATTTTCGATATCAATCAAATTGATGGATTCCGATTCTAATCCAAATGACATTCATGAAAAACGTTGCGGAATAAATCGCCATTGTCCAATACTCCCTTCCCTTTCTCTTCTCTGCTGAATCTCCTTTGAACACCATCACCCTTATCATCCCAATTGGGTGCTTCATTCATACTTGCAGTAACAATGCCCTTTTCGTTGTCACCACGCAACTCTCCCATACCACTTTCATCAACTCCATCAGAATCCAATGGTAAACAATCAGCCGAATTCATAAACTCTTTTTTTACTGTGTGAATAGTAGTATTTTGTGTTTCATTTTCCAAGTCCAAATTCAATGCGCATTCTTTTCTAGTGCGTTTAGCACTACTATTCTCTTCGCTGGGCCCATCCTTCCCAGTCTTATCGTCTTCATGATTCACAGAATCCAACGCTCTCTTCAGTAAATTCTTTTCTGACTGCCAATTCAAGAAGCGTTTGGGCCGATCATCTCCCTCACGTCCCGAACTATCAAACAAGACTGCTTTTTCCTTCGACCCAGAACTCGACGAATCCGTTCTTGATCGGTCTTGAACTGTAAATGACGCAGTCTCACATATTTTCGAGTTGGGTTCCTTCAAAATGATCGCTTTCTCAACCTTTTCGTCGGTTTCCAAGACCTTCAACCCAGTGGAACCCAAATTCAAACCCGTTCCTTGATCGTCCAATCCACCCATACTAGGAGCACCAGGCTTTGCAGTCATTTTTCTATCCACCGAGAACCAAGTCTCATTCAATAAAGAGGGCGATTCTGTGGTCAAGAATCCATCAAAATCGAAATTGAATTCAGGCGTGCCACGGAAACTCCAAGCCGGGGAAGTAGAAGTGAGCCCAGTGATCGGGGACCCTGAGGTGGGTGGGTCGGTTTTGGGAGAATCAGAAGAAGGGGTAGGCATGGGCGATGGGCGGAGGTAAAGAGATGGAACAGGAAGGAGGAGTTGAATTGAACGCGGATTTTGAAGAGGCCGTTAAAGATTGATTAAAAAAGTCAGGGATTTGAGTGAGAACATTTCCGAAGGACGTGAAAAACTGAGAAGTGAGAATTGAGAAGGCAGTCCGCGAAGATTAAGGAAGGAGGGAACGCAATAAATTTTGGAGGTACGCTGATGGCCCATTTGGTAGACTTCTACAGTTCTACGGTATATGTTTTTTTTTTTTTTTTGCTTTTTGAAAATAATGCGTATGCTTATTTCATTCGGTGGATTTCCACTCTATTGTTTTTGTAAAATATTCTTTTATTTTTATATGTTTATTCGTTCCAGAAAAAGATTTTTATCCTAATAATATTCTATTAAAATATTCTTGACTTTTTAATTTTATATTTGACTTAAATGATCCCTTTCTTTACATATTTCAAAGCAAAGGACAAGGTGATCGTAAAAATCATTAATTTCTATCAAAGAAATTATAAAGAGGCATTTTTTTGAAACAAAAACAGAAGTTTAAATTAATAATATTTTGAAATGGATGGAGCGTAGATCACCTAATTAGCAAATTTGAATAGATTAATAATATTAGTTAATAGTTAAATTAATTAATATGATATTTTTTTAAAAAAATACTCTAAGTATCTTGGTTAATTCTCTTCCTACTTTTCTTGCTGATTATTAATTAAGAAAATATCAATAGGGTTAATTTGAAAAAACTTTATAGACATGTGAAATAGATTTTACATATAGGACTAACATCAACTCATCAATTAGGTCTTATATTAAAGATCATATGAGTATTAATTATTTACTTATTGTGCCATGGAAAATAATTTAATGTAATCTAACAACTAACAAATGAATATAATAAAAATGAATAAGTCATTTTTATTGAATTAAGTTTAAAGTATACAATTGGTTCTTTGACTTTATATGAAGTTTTATTTTAATCCTTTAATTTTAAAAAGTATACTTTGTTATGAATATAATATCTTTATGGATGTCCATATATCTATCATTATCTCCCTTATCTCTCAATATCTTCAGTAACTCCCATTATCCCCATTATTTGCAATTATCTTTTTATTATATCTGTAGATTCTATCAAAGATGTAAAGTCGTGCCTATAAATAGAGGCCATGTACAATGTATTCAGCACCTTATTGAATAGAAAGAGAAATATTCTCTCTTATTGATATTCTTTCTTCTCTGTTCTTCTTTATTTACAACACGTTATCAGCATGAGGGCTCTAACAAAGGTATAATATTCCGATCTTATTATTATACATTATGTTTCATGATTTATTGTCTATCCTCTATACTTTTCTATACTCTTCTACACTATGAGTATTTTTCTTTTTCTCCATTCTTTTCCTAAATGGCTTAAAGCCATATGGTTTAAAGTTTTCTACTTTATGGCCAGAAGCCATAAAACTTTATTATTCTTTCTTATGGCCAGAAGCCATAAAATTTTGTTTTGCTTCTTATGGCCAGAAGCCATAAAACTTTGTTTTCTACTTTATGGCCAGAAGCCATAAAACTTTATTATCTTTTCTTATGGCCAGAAGCCATAAAACTTTATTATCCTTTCTTATGGTTAGAAGCCATAAAACTTTGTTATTCTTTCTTATGGCCAGAAGTCATAAAAACTTTATTTTATACTTTATGGTCAGAAGCCATAAAACTTTGTTTTCTTCCTTATGGCCAGAAGTCATAATTTTGATTTTTCTATTTTAATGATCCAAAGCCATAATTTTAATTTTCTAACATATGGCTAGAAGCCATATAATTTTTAACTCATGACCAAAAGTCATTCAAATTTGATTTTATCTGAGTAAATGGCTAGAAACTATGTATATATTTATTTTTGAGAAATATTTATTGTTTATTTGTTAATGGCTAGAGACAATATACCAAATTTTGTCTCTTTCTCATTTAATTTTCTCTTCATTTGTTTTCTTTTGGTAATTTATAATTTTTTTCTTTTCTTTTTTTCTCATTAACGAAGAGCAATGTAATTTCCATACATGGCAATTTTTTTAATATTATATTCTTTTGTGGTAGTGCCATCATGTCGAACCTTACAAAACTTGAGTTTGTGGCTCTTGACATTACTGGGAAGAATTACTTATCTTGGGTACTAGATGCGGAAATTCACTTAAATGCCAATGGTCTGGGAGACACAATTAAGGCAGAAAATAAGGCATCTAGTCAAGAAAAGGCTAAAGCTATGATCTTTTTACGCCATCATTTACATGAAGGACTAAAAATGGAATATTTGACCATTAAAGACCCACTCGTACTTTGGAATAATTTGAAAGAAAGGTATGACCACCAGAAAACTGTCATTCTCCCAAAAGCTCGATATGAATGGATGCACTTGTGCCTACAAGATTTTAAATCTGTTAGTGAGTATAATTCTGCGATATTTAGAATCAATTCTCAACTGAAATTATGTAGAGAAAAAGTCACTGATGAAGACATGTTGGAGAAAACATTCTCCACATTTCATGCATCCAATGTGCTCCTGCAGCAGCAATACCGTGAAAAAGGCTTCAAAAAGTATTCTGAACTAATTTCTTGCCTTCTTGTAGCTGAGCAAAATAATGAGCTTCTAATGAAAAATCATGAATCCCGTCCAACCGGCTCCACTCCATTCCCGGAAGCGAATGTAGTAGTAAATGGACCAACACGTGGTCGTGGATGAGGACATGGACGTGCACGAGGCCGTCGCATTGACCGTGGACGTGGTCATGGTCATAATCGAGGTGGTTCAAATTCCTATTCAAAGAGGACAAAGAATGACAAGAATCGCAAGAGAAAAACTAGTGGAAGTAATAACCACTCTGAAGACTCGTGTTATCATTGTGGTGGGAATGGTCATTGGTCACGTACTTGTCGTACACCGAAACATTTGGTTGACCTTTATCAAGAATCGCTTAAAAATAAAAGTAAAGGCAACGGCAAAATGCCAAGGGTAGAAACCAATTTTGTTGATGAAGAGGGCGATTCTGATTATGGCAACATGGATGTCACTCATTTGGATATTGCTGATTTCTTTGCTGATCCTAATGGAAAGATTGATCACCTGATTGGTGATGGGAATGTTCAACAATAAATTGTTTTAGTGAAGTTAAATTTCTATGATTTTTTTTCTTTTTCATCTTCTTTTATAAAGTTTCTACTTTCAATGTTGTTATCTTTCCAAATTAATAAAATTACGAGTATTTTCCTTTTATTAATTTTGTTTCTTCCTCCCTCTCTTGACTATGTTCCTTGTAACGAACAATGGCTCCTATTGACGTCAATCATGAAGATTTATGTCTTGTTGACAGTGCAACAACTCATACAATACTTAGAAATAAAAACTATTTCTCTTCTTTGGTAATGCAAGAAGCCAACGTTCAGACTATATCTGGAAGTGCAAAACTAATTGAAGGCTCCGGAAGAGCCAATATATTGTTACCTGGAGGAACAATATTATACATTGATAGTGCATTTTACTCAACTAAGTCTAAAAGAAATTTGTTGAGTTTTAAGGATATCCGCAAGAATAGATACCATATCGAAACAACAATTGAGGAAAATCAAGAATATCTTGCTATTACAAAGTCAACCTCAGGTAAAAAATACACACTAGAAAGATTGTCTGCATTTTCTTCTGGCTTGTACTACACAATTATTAGTACAATTGAAGTACACATCATTATAAACCAGCAGTTTGTAAATGATAACAGATTTAATGTTTGGCATGACCGGTTAGGCCATCCCGGGACAATTATGATGCGAAAAATAATTGAGAATTCATGTGGACATTCATTGAAAAGTCAACAAATACTACAATCCAATGTTTTCTCATGTAATGCATGTTCCAAGGGAAAGTTAATTGTTCGGCCATCACTAGGAAAACTAAAAAGTGAGCCTCTCACTTTTTTAGAACGCATACAGGGAGATATTTGTGGACCGATCGCACGTCTGTTTATTATCTTCGCGTAACCTGGCGTTCGCAAGATTATTGGCTCAATTAATTAGATTAAGAGCACATTTCCCTGATTTTCCTATCAAGAAAATACGTCTTGATAATGCTGGTGAATTTACTTCACAAGCTTTCAACGATTATTGTATGTCTCTTGGGATTGATGTTGAACATCCTGTGGCTCATGTGCACACACAAAATGGACTTGCAGAATCATTAATCAAACGTTTACAATTAATTGCAAGACCATTACTTATGAGATCAAATCTCCCAATTTCTGCTTGGGGACATGCAATTTTGCATGCAGCAGTGTTAATTCGCATCAGGCCAACAAGTTATCTCAAGTCCTCCCCTTTACAAGTGGTTTTTGGTCATGAACCAAATATTTCCCATCTACGAAACTTTGGATGTGCTGTACATGTTCCAATTGCTCCCCCACAACGTACCAAGATGGGGCCTCAAAGAAGGATGGGAATATATATTGGATATGAATCTCCCACTATAATAAAATATCTAGAACCCTCAACAGGAGATTTGTTCACAGCTCGATTTGCCGATTGTCATTTTGATGAGTCAGTTTTTCCAACAATGAGGGAAAAATAAGAAGTTGGAAAAGGACATTAGCTGGAAAGAATTATCACTGTCTCATCTTGATCCTCGCACAAAAGAATGTGAACTGAAAGTTCAAAAGATAGTCAATTTACAAAGTTTAGCAAATCAATTACCAGATGCATTTACTGACCCGAAGAGAGTAACAAAATCACATATTCCGGCTGTTAATGCTCCTATTAAAATCGATGTCCCTGATGGACAACCAATTGTGAATGATTCTAAAGCACACATGAAGCGTGGCAGGCCCATCGGCTCCAAAGATAAAAATCCTCGAAAGAAAAAAGGAGTTAAAAGTATAGATGGCCTAGTTGAGAATAATTTAGAAAAGTTAACAACTCCAGAAGAGTCATCAGACAACGCTAACGTCCCAATTCTCAGTGAAAGTCAGGTACCTGAAATATGTGAAAATGATGAGATCTCAATTAATTATGTTATGAATGGGATACGATGGGACCGAAGTGAAGTCGACGTCGATGATATTTTCTCTTATAATGTAGCGCTCGATGTGATGAATGATAATGAGGATCATGAGCCAAAGTCAATTAGTGAATGTAAACAAAGAAAGGATTGGCCAAAATGGAAAAATGCAATTGAGGCAGAATTAAAATCGCTAGAACAACGAAAAGTTTTTGGACCAGTAGTCCTTACACCTGAAGATGTAAAACCGGTTGGATATAAATGGGTTTTTGTGCGAAAGAGAAATGATAAGGGTGAAATCATAAGATACAAAGCACGACTCGTTGCCCAAGGATTTACGCAAAGACCTGGTATCGATTTTGAAGAAACTTATTCACCAGTAGTGAATACAACTACTTTTCAATACTTGATTAGCCTCGCAGTAAATAAAGGGCTCAATTTACATCTAATGGATGTTGTTACAGCCTATCTGTATGGCTCACTTGACAATGACATTTATATGAGACTCCCTGAAGGGCTGAAATTGCTAGAAGCACACAATTCAAACTCTCGAGAATGATACTCAATTAAGTTAAACAAATCCCTATATGAATTAAAGCAATCAGGGCGAATGTGGTATAACAGGCTTAGTGAGTATCTATTGAGGGAAGGATATAAAAATGATGCAATATGCCCATGTATTTTTATGAAAAGATCAGGAAATGAGTTCGTTATAATCGCTGTGTATGTTGATGATATAAATATTATTGGAACTCCTGAAGAGTTTGAAAAGGCAGTGAATTGCCTAAAGAAAGAATTTGAAATGAAGGATCTAGGAAGAACAAAATTTTGCCTTGGATTACAAATTGAATATTTGAAAAATGGAATTTTTGTATATCAAGAAACTTATACAAAAAGGATCCTAGAACGTTTTTATATGGATAAATCACATCCATTATATACTCCAATGGTTGTAAGATCTTTGGAGGTCGATAAGGACCCTTTTAGAGCTCGAGAAATTGGGGAAAAAGGTGATGAAGAGCTACTTGGTCCAAAAGTATCATATATTAGTGCAATTGGAGCACTAATGTATCTTGCTAATCATACACAACCTGATATATCATTTGTAGTCAACTTACTAGCAAGATATAGTTCTTCACCAACACGAAGGCATTGGAATGGAGTTAAACATATCCTTCGTTATCTTAAGGGTACAATGGATATGAGATTATTTTATTCGAATGTATCCAAGACCGATCTTGTTGGCTATGCAGATGCTGGATTTCAGTCTGACCCACATGTTGGTAAATCACAAACTGGCTATGTATTCACATGTGGCGGTACAGCCATTTCATGGCGATCTATGAAACAAACTATATCAGCCACATCATCTAACCATGCGGAGATTCTAGCAATGCATGAAACAAGTCGAGAATGTGTATGGTTAAGGTTCTTAATACATCACATACAAACTACTTGTGGCTTGTCTTCTGGTAAAATGATCCCAACAATACTGTACGAAGATAATACTGCATGTATTACCCAACTAAAAGAAGGGTATATCAAAGGAGACAGAACAAAGCATATCTCTCCAAAATTCTTCTTCACTCGTGATCTTCAAAAGGATGGTGAAGTCAATATCCAACAAATTCGTTCCAGCGAAAATTTAGTAGACCTATTCACCAAATCACTTCCAGCCACCACGTTCGAGAGACTTGTTCATGACATTGGACTTCGTAGACTCAGAGATATCAACTGACATTGTCAAGAGGGGGAGCAAATGTATGCTGTACTTAGGGCTGTGCAAAAACCCGGTGGTCCAGGTAACCCGGTCTAACCCGATATGGCCCGGTCCAACCCGGTCCAGATAAATCAATCTAAAAAAAAATCAGACCAGACCAAACCAGACTGACTGGTCGGGCTGGACCAGACTCAGGACCAAGTGATCAGAACACTTAGTCTGGTCTGGTCTGGCCCGGGTAATATATATAATATATATATTTTAATTTACACTGTGGCAAACTGGCTGGCACACTAAGTCTAAGTGTCTAACGTTGTCGTTTTAGTGTTTTACTCACACTCCTCACTCAGCAACTCAACGCCTCAGTCAGCTCGCCACTCTCGGTCTTCTCCGTTCTCTCCCCATCATCTTCGTCGAAGAAGCCCTAGCAGCAGGTAGCACCGTAGCAGCGACGACGTCTCCTCCGTCGAACTGTTGATCTCCTCACTTGAAGGCAAAGCAATCCGATAAATGAGATGATTTTTTAAATATTACGTATAATTTTCAACCCCCAATAATTAATCAGGTCAAAAAAACCCGAATAATAATACTGCAAAAAACAAAAACAATAATAATTGAAAATGAAGCAGTTGAAGCTGGAGCAAGATTCTGATTTCTGGAGTAGGAAAGATTTATTTTCGTTTCTTTGAAAATTTTGACATTTCTCTTCCGTTCCGATCAGGGACGCGGATTCAGAAGCGAGACCTACAAGGTCAAGCTGTGAGGTTTTGATTTCTCAAGCGGCGCTGCTTGCTTGCTGTCGTTTCCTTCTCCCGATGGGCGATGACCAATCGCCGACCTTAATGGCTAACAGAGACAGAGATCGGGAGCTTCTCATCCCGGTGGCCGGTCCCGGCGACGGCGGTGCCGGTTCCAAGCCTTCTCCCTCCTCCTCCTCCACTCATCATACTGGCCGCGAGGTGATTGATTCATTCATTGGTTT